TTACGATTTATGTTGAGCAAGTATTTGTGTCACACCCGACACAAAATACATAGAAAAGTTATGATTGCATTAGCTATACCAGCTAAAATGTTATACCGTTTTGTGAAAGTAAGGTTATTTGAGGGGGCAAAGGGTGGAAATAGTTTTGATGTTTACAAAATGGCTTCATTTTGATATATAAGCTTTTATTTATTAGTCACGCCCGTCACACGTCACACCCGTCACAAACTTGGGTTGACTTTTCATTCATGATTAATGTGTGGGGTAAAAATTCGATTCATTAATAAGGCTTGGGCTTGTTACTAACAGTCATCCATATGGGACAGGCAAAAGTACTAAGCCATACAGCCGGATGCCAAATATATTTTATCATCATCATCAGCCTATTAATGTCCCCACTGCTGCGGCACAGGCCTTCCTTATGGATGGAATAGGGAGATAGGGCCATGACCCACCACGCGGGCCCAATGCGGATTGGCGGGTGCTAACGACTGTAGATGCAGCCGGGACCAACGGCTTAACGTGCCTTCCGAACTCGAGATAGAAGATTTTTGATCACCCATCCAATGATCGACCACTGCGAAAGTTGCTTAAATTCAACGATCGCAGCCGAACGCGCTAACCACTTGCGCCATCCAGGTCCTCTATAATATATTTTATGGCTTAATAATAAATAGGCAATGAAATTTTCCTAACTTTTATGCTTATGTACCTAATCTTGCCATGTGGTTTTGGCAATATTTTATCTTTACAGTATGGATGCAGCTGCAAGAAAGAGGAAAAGTCGGGAAAAACTAAGGAATAATCGAGAAAAACTTGAAGAGTTTTTGAAGAAAGAAAGAGAAAGAGATCGAGTTAGAAGGGCGAAACAACGGGATGTCATAAGCAAAAGTAAAAAAAAAACTGGAAAGTAGCAGATTAGCGGCCAGAATTAGACAACGCAAATGCAGGGAAAAAAGAAAATTACTTTGATAGAAGAATAATTGATAATGTCACCTTTAGGCTCATATAAATGTCAAAAAAAAAAATCAAAAAAGTTTATTACGGTACCACATTTGTTTTACATCAAACCAGGGTGGGTTCCTTCTATTAAGTGTTAAACACCTGTACCAGAAGGAACCACTCTTCCATAGCATCATTGATATTTCTTATGGTAAGGTCTTTTCATTGGATTTTTAATACATTGTAAAAAAAAATAAAAAATATATAGATTACAATTTATATAAGCGGTTGAGTGTGTGTCTGTATGCGTGTGTATGTGTGTGTGCGTGTTCGTGTGTGTGCATGTGTGTGCATGTGCGTGAGTGTGACGAGTGTACGTGAGTATGTGTGTACAAATGCTCTTTTTATCCGCTAGTAAGTAAGATTAAGAAGGCTCTCAGTGTGATCATAATCCAAGGTCTTGAGCCATGCCATCAGTTTGAGCTTGCACTCCCGGTAAGTTAGAGAATAAATATTTAAAATTTTGTTAATATGGTTATAGATGATGGAGGAGATGTGGAGGTACTGGTTGCGAGCAAAACTTGTGTTAGAGCACTGAACTAATGCTACTATGTCTCTTCTTCTTTTTTCTACGATACTAGGATTGTACGACAGTGTTGTGTGCTTCCGTAATACAGCATGTAGAATGTATAGCTTTCTAACAGTTAGTAAATCTGACATAGAGTAAAGCAGCTCAGTTGGGAAGTCGCGTTTTTTTAAATAGATAACTTTGATCAGAGCTCTTTGAGCTCTTTCAACCTCTAAAAATTTAGTTTTCAGCGCTCCACCCCAAACCCTTATGCAGTAAATCAAGACTGATTGCGCCAGCGCAACATATATCTGGTTCAGCATATCCTTAGTGGCTACATATCGCAGTGTTTTAAAGACCCAGATCAGCTTCCGCATTCTAGATCCAACCAAGTCAATATGAGAGTACCAAGATAGTCTCTGATCGAGCATAATCCCAAGATATTTAACATTTTTTACCTTAGTCATGGATGGACAGCTGCAATCCTGACACATACTACGAATGCAGGAGCCAGAGTGGATCTTAATATCATAACCAGCTGTCGGCTGTGTCCTATCTTGGATAGAGAAGCACATGTAATTTGTTTTTTTTATATTTAGGGTAAGCAGATTAGCCACTAGCCACTCGGAAATCATAGTCAGTCCAAGTTCAGTCCTATGCTTAACAATATCCCAGTTTTCTCCCGAAAAAACCACAGCAGTATCATCCGCGTATGACAGAATGCTTGCATTTTGAATACTCATATTACATAAGTCGTTTATGTAAATGAGGAAGAGCGTCGGACCCAGGATGCTCCCCTGTGGTACACCGTAGGCTACTCCAGTTGTACCACTCACATATTCGCCCACCTTTACCTTTTGCATCCTGCCATACAGATAGTCCTTAAATAAGCTTAATGATTTACCCCTGATTCCCACCTTCTCCAGTTTTTGAACAAGGATGGGGATAGAAACGGTGTCGAAAGCCTTTTTTAAATCTAAGAATACTGCGAGACATTTGCGTTTTCTGTCCAGATGTTCAGTTACAATGGAAGTTAGTGACTCGATGGCATCAGCAGTAGATTTTCCAGCTCTAAACCCAAACTGGAAATTTGACAAGATGTTATATTTCTCAAGATATCTCAACAGTCTCTTGTTCAAAAGTTTTTCAATAATTTTGGAAATAGCGGTTAATACTGAAATTGGCCTATAATTGTTGACGTCGCTTCTATCTCCGTTCTTGTAAACTGGTGTAATTAAAGCCTCCTTCAATTGAGGTGGAAAAATACCTTGAGAAAAGCAGAGGTTGGAGAGGTGAGTAATAACTGGGACAACCACGTCTTTTGCCCGTTTAAGAAAACTAGTTGGGATATTGTCAGATCCAGGGGCACTGTCGGATTTTAAACTCATTAAAACAGATTTAACCTCATCATCATCCGTATTCAATAGCACAAAGGAATTTAGTAGTGGAGGAGGGTTGTTGTTTAACAAATTTAAGCCATCTTTTTGAGGTATGATATCGGCCAGATTTTTACCAATATTGCCAAAATAGTCATTTATGTAATTTACAGATTCTTCAGGTGTAGTTTTTAGCTTAAGTAATTTTGAATTTTCAGATTTGGAAGATTTTATGTGCGTTATGGCTGATATCGTATTCCAAAAGGTTTTAGTATTTATTTTAGATTTATTAAGCACCTCCCTATCGTGGTCTCGTTTAAGCTTTTTAATTAGATTATTGCAAAAGTTTCGATAGCGTCTATAGGTGATTCTAAGTATGTCGTCCTCTGTATTTGAACGAAGCTTTTTCTGTAATTTATTTCTGTGTCTAATACACCTCAAAATTCCCGGTGTTATCCACGGTTTGATAACTCGATCTTTTTTAGGGATAAGTACTTTTTTGGTGTTATCTTTCAGAGACTCTATTAAATTGTTGATTAGCTTTTGAGTTACTTCCAGAGGATCACAGTTGTAGATCAATTTATTTACTTTTTTTGCTGTCAGTGTGAGTACTGCCTTATCAAAATTTACAACTCTTTTAATTTTATTAGGTTTAGTTTTTAAATGTTGATGACCAAGGTGTAACAAAACCATGGAGTGGTCCGTGATAGTAGTGTTCAGGACTGCTACGTGGGACAGTATTTTTGACCGGTCATACTTAAGCATGACGTGATCCAAGGAACTTTTTTCTCTAGTGGGTTTATTGTGGCCCATCATTATACCGTGTGTCGCTAACATATCTAAATAACCAGCTCTGTTTTTATGTTCGTAACCTTGCTCATTTTCCCGCGGTATGATATTTATGTTTAAGTCCCCAGTCAAAACTATATTTTTGTATGTTTTTAGAGTTTCTAAATGTGCATTCAGTGAGCTTATAAAACCCTCAGCATTCATATTTGATGGTGATCGGTAAGTACAAAGTATAATAGTATCATTTATTTTTAATTGGAGGCAAGATGCCTCTAGTATATTTATTTCATCGACACAGGTTGTGATATATTTTTTTACATAAACTACAACGCCGTCACATTTATTTAAGTAACGGGTGGTATAAAATGATACATAATTTACCAATACAGGGATCGGTTTATCTTTACTGAGCCAACATTCCGTTAGCACTATTATATCTGGTTCATAATTTAATTGTGTAAGAGTGACTAGAAGATCGTTAATGTTACATAGTATACTTCGGATGTTTTGTGTCACTAATACTAAATCATTATCCTTTATTTTCAGAACATTTGCTATTTTATCAATATCACATAAGGTATTTGTAGAAAATTCGATTTCATCAACAACGTTTATACTATTTATTTGGTCATTCATTATGTTTTTTTTTTGAAAATCGAGATTTCAAACATGACGGTTTCATTTGTATAAAGAAATTTTAAATTTTGGGCTTGCTTACATGAATTTTTGTATGTGTATTCGCGCAATAGTGAAAATGAGTTTGAATAATGTTTTTTGTGATTGAGAGTAAGTGTATGATGTGTTGAGTAAGTTATTGATGTGAAGTATATTTGGCTATATGTGTACACATGAAAAAGCATATTTATTATTATGTATATATGTGAACACTTTGTGTGTATTTGTAGGTATATGCATGTGTGAGTTTTTGTTTGTACATAGATTAGAGTGAATGTGTTTATATTGATATATAGATTTTTATAGCTATATTTAAGTGAATGTGGTTTGTAAAGTGTTTTGGTTGTCTGAAACCGCTTAATTACAATACATATAAAACAACATAAAATAGTAACTAACTCATACATTTGAAAAGTTAGGAGAAAAAATACATGTACTAAAGTAACAGTTTTGGTAAATAAGTGATTATACAGGTAAAGAGACAGTTTTAAATCTAAAAGTATTAATATAAAAAACTTTGAACTCCAGAGTCTCGCAATTACAATTTTAAAGTTATATATATTCGCAAAACTAACCCTATTTTTACAATAGGTAAAGACTGCAATATGTAACAGGGATAGTAGTATAAGTAAGTGAGCTAAAGGTACTAGTCATTCAGCCTGCATGAGGCGCTGAATCTGAGCTTCAGATTTGATGGCTATAATTGGAGAGTTATCTAATTTCCTGACATACACTCTGCCATAGGCAGTCCAGCAGTACTTATAAGATTTTGACTTAGCCAAATCCCTAGCAAGGAAATGCAAACGCGAGCCTTTAGCGGTAAGCTGCTCGGACACAAAAATGGGTGTGTCTTCTTGTATACGGAACCCTAGATGCTTAGCACATAATTTTGACTTTGTTTTTGAGTTAAAAGCCTTACATAGTTTTAGCACATTAGTCTTAACCATGGTTGAGTTTAATTCCACTACAAGTGTCGCGTTTTTATCCGTTTTCCTACCATAGACCCGGTATATATCTTTGATATCGGACGTATTTATATTTCCACCAATAGTAGTGGACAAACTCAATACCATGTCGATTAGGTCTTCCTTAGTTTCATTATTTTTTTTAGGTAGGTTTTTAATTTCAAAGTTAGATTTTCGGCAGTTCATCTGCAAACTTTCAATTCTATCTTCTAGTTTTGTAATATATTCCCAATTTTCCTTGTATTTATATTCAAGATCCACAATCCTATTAGATAGTTCTATGTTTTGAGACGTCAGTAAAGCAATCAAGTTTTCGATGTTAGCATTTGTTTGTTCGATTCTTTGCAGGGTAGGGCAAATGTTTTTAAGCTCTTGCTGTTGTGTAGTACAAAGAGAATGAAACATTTCCTTTATTTCGGTCTTGAACACCTCAAAATCGCTCATCGTTACACTCCTATAACTCCTGTCACGACTAAAAACATAATTCGGAGGGGTTGTATCAATAGTTCCTGTTTGATCATGAGTGGTTTCACCCTCACAAACGGACATATCCGCCTCTCGATTCATTGTAACAGTTTATTGTGCTTATAGTAAGTTGGAATACAATATTTGTTAAAAATGCACTGTATTTATAATGTAATAATAATATATTAAGTAATTTATTTGTAGTGCACGGTTTCTCGTATCTCAGAACCGAGCCAAAACAAATTTATTTATATGCGTTCTCTTTAATAATATGGAACCAAGGCTCAAAGTTCAACGTTTTAATTTCCAATAGCAGCGTTATCACTTGAATCGGCGCATACGCTCCCCAATCAGTGAGATAGTAAAGGATAGTTCAATAAATTTGACGTAGATCTCGTTCTCCCTCGTAGTGCAAGGCGGAGTCAGAACTCACAAAACAGCGTAGCCGCGTCAAAGTACCACAGTCGACCTCGCTTACTCACGTACGAGTATAAATGGGCGGGAATACAGCAGGCGAAAATGAGCGAGACAGGATAATGCAATACATGTCCTTCTTGCGCCTACTACAGTAGATGACGTAAACCTGTCCAATATCGACACAACGGCGGATTACTTTCACTAGCAGACAACTGCACTGTCTTCTATCTTTTTTACACGCACTCGAAGTCCGTTTCGCAGCAGAGTAGGACAGTTCACAGACACTAGCACCGCGCGGATTAAGCTTCGTAGTGATACCTCTTCACTGTTATGCACTCCTATTATTATGGAAAATTATTTTGTAATTTAAATTTGTATTTATTTATTTAATAAAAACTGACACAGACCAGTGGATGCGTTCGCACTAGGTGCGGTCCGGGAGGGAAGAGGATGTAAACAAACACATAGTAAAGCAGTTAAAAAGTCACAGAAAGCATTGCCTTCAAGTCCTACAAAAAGTCAAGCTGTGGTTCAGTTTTAGATTTGACTACCAGCCCATTTTCAAGTTGTTTTAGTTCGGTTACCATGGGATCAAGGTAAGCACTTAAATTTGATGGTTTACTGGTCCCCGCATAAATACCTTAAACATACAGCATACAGGTAATAAAGTTAGAAAAGTAAGTTGTGTGTTTCTGTGTTTACAAGTCTACTTACCAATTATCAGAGGTGATAACTTTGGTATTTCGAAAATACTACATAGTATTGGCCAGAATTGTTGTCTCGAACTGTTGTATATCGGTAGACCGTCGATATTTATACTAAGCGAAATAACATTTGGAATTTGATCTACAATTGCTAAAACCTTTCTTAACTGATCTATTAAACAGTTATGCCAATAATGTCCTGTGCCCGCAGTAGTAACGTCTATTGTTTTATTGTTAGTTTTAAGGATAGTGCGGGCATCCCTAGGTAAAGCATATTTTATCCTTTTATTTAAAATCGCTGAAAGTTCATTTAAAGCTGAATGTGATATATTATTCCTAATAGCCCACTGTTTTATATCCACCTGTAATTCATAATTTTTATCAAACTCAGTATGATCACCATCATTAAATCCACTATTAATGCTTCCGCTATCATTTTCCGTATGTTCTTGATCATTACAACTCTCTGTAAAATTATCTTCATAGTTGTCTAAGTCTATTTCCATTTTGCCGTGTACGGAACCATCACAAACTTCACCAACTTCATCAGGCTCTTTTTTATTTAAGAACTTTTCTTTTGATCCGCTTGACCCGAACTCCGATATCGACTTCATTTCAAAGTACTTTTTCGAAACTCTTCTTCGATAACCGCCACTACGCTTAAATCGTCTCCACTTATTTTAAATCCATATTTATATTGTTTCAGCTTTCTCTAACAAATCACAAGATGGCCAATTACTCTAATAATAGCAAATGTAGAACACATTTAAGTAGAATTTTACTTATAAAAATCAGAGGCTATGCTAGCTTGGTGCTAAAAATCCGTTAAGGTTCACGACTAAGATAATTTTTTGATAAAAATTGTGAGTCCCCACCCTTTCATTCATTGATAAACAATGATAATTTAATACTACAACCTGATATAAACTTAAATATCGCGGGGCCTCCGAGTACTCCAATGTTAAGTTCGCCTACTTTTGCTGCTGATATTAACAAACCCTCTTCAATAGCGATGACTCCTCAGTCAGTAATGAAGAAGATTTTACACCAGTCCCATCACCTTACTGTGATGATAATTTAAGTTCTGACGAAACCTTAGTACCGACTTCTCACGAAAATACATTAACAACAGAACACGTAACATCAACCCATAATACAATTTCATACTCTCCAATGGATAATACTCATAGACAGAATATTGAAACTCTTTCAAATTTAGATTCCCCTCAGACGTCTTCTATTTTTTCGCCTGGAACATTAAATGAAAGTGACTATACTGATGTGTCAACTCCAAAAATTAAGCGTAGATCCAAAAAAAGAACAGATTTAGGATTAAAGCGTCTCAAGCACCAAGATGATTGGCTGTCTAAAAAAAGGCAACGTTTGTATAATAAAGGAATGCCATACATTTCAACTAAAGGAATCAGGAAAGATGCAAGAAGAATGAAAGCTGGTTGTAGTACAACCTGCCGTCTACGTTGTTACGAAAAAATTAAAGATGAATCACGCATGGAGCTTTTTTCCCAGTTTTGGGACACAGGTAGCCACGTCAAACAATGGCAAATAATAGCAAAATATGTTATGCAAAAAAACAAAAAGACCGCCACTAATCTAGAAGAAACTAGTCGCCGTTCATACACTTTACATTATCATATCCTTTACACGATCCTGTAACTGATAGTATTTCTTCACAAAAAGTATGTAAAACCATGTTTTTAAATACCTTTAATATAAGCAAAGAGTTTGTTTATACCGCATTAGTAGGTAGTTATTGGGAATTCTAATTCACTTTTATCTCTATATCACAAAACCAAAAAAGCGAATTAAAATCCCCCAATCACAAGCGATTGGAGGCTTCTAATTCACCTTTTTTTGGTTTCGTGATATAGAGATAAAAGTTAATTAGAATCCCCAATAACCAATGAGGTACCGTGGCATTCTCACTTACTGCCGTTCGTGATTTCTAACGTGGTTAAATGCTGCTTGTGCTGCTTGTTCATTCCTCAAATAAAAACCAAACGTTTAAATGTTAAAGTGATAAATTTTGAGCTCATTTTGTTGAAAACCACGCTACAATCAAGATCAAAAGCTATAATGAAATTTGTAAAACAGAAAGAATCGTTGAAGTTGAACTGTATATGTCCTCCGTCTATTAACGAAACCAAACGACATGGTAACCTATTACCTAATACAATACGTTGTCTTGTTTGCGGTCCATCCAACTGTGGAAAAACCAACCTAGTAATAAGTTTATTATTACATGAAAATGGTCCACGCTTTTGTAATATCTATGTGTATTCAAAATCTTTATATCAACCTAAGTACATATTCTTAGAAAAAGTTTTAAACATGGTGGCCAATACAGCATTTAACAAATACAGTAATAACAACGAAATTTTGAGCCCACACGAAGCTCTACCAAACTCCGTTTTTATATTCGATGATGTTGCATGTGAAAATCAAAATAATATTCGTGATTACTTCGCCATGGGACGTCATAAGAACATCGATTGTTTTTATATAAATCAAACATATACTAAAATACCTAAACAACTCATACGGGATAATTCAAACCTAATAATATTATTCAAACAAGACGATATCAATTTGAAACACGTTTATGAAGAACACGTGGGATCTGATATGTCATGGTCCCAATTTCGCGAAATGTGCTCAGCTGTTTGGGATAAGCCTTTTAGTTATCTTGTAATCAATAAGGACTGTGAAAAAAATAAGGGATGTTACAGGATGGCATTTGATACATTCATAATCTTAGATTAACATACATAACAGATTGCAGTTATATTATTCAATCATTTTCTTATCGGATTTGGAACAAAGCAAACCACAAAGATGGAAAAAGATTTAAAACAACAAATTGTGAAGTCAGCAGAAGCTGTAAAAAGAAAACTTGAATTAATCAAAGATGCAAAAATTTCGAATAATACGGCATTGGAGACAATATTTAAACCTATTGTTGAACCGCTCAATATGATTGCAAATAAAAGTGATGTAAATCAACATAAAATAGAAAGAGATTTTAAACCCATATTGAAAAAAAATAAAAATGATGACAGTGAAACCAATTTCTTTTCAAGTGACGATTCTAATCAAGCAAACAGTGAAGAATCCGAAGACAATGATAATGCTTTCTCGGATAGAACACTCACTACACCATCTACTGAAGATCATAATGTAAGCGCCAATTCGTTTAAATCCTTACCATCTTCACCAAGTGCTAAAAACTACTCAGTGTCATGGTCTACATCATCGGAAGTAATGCCTGATATACCGTTTGGAGTAAGACATGAACGAGGAAAACTCATGTTCGGCAAAACCCGCGTAAATGACGATGGCAATATTTTAGATATTGGAAATCAAAGTTTCAACAAAACTCTTGGATTAACAGAATTATTATTCAAAAAGAAACCTAATTTAGATGTGGTTACCGAGGAGGATTTGCAAAATTATAAATCATTATTAATCAAGACTAATGCACACAGGCGTAACTATAATCCATCCAAACCAATCAACAGCAATAAAGGTTTCAAATATATGAAGATCATCAAGCCATTATTTAAGTTCTCCAGAAATAATACTACATGTCAAGAAAGCCTTACACAAGGAAAAGGCGTGAAACTCTTAAAAAAACTTAAAAATAATACTGACTTTATATATTGGGACAACCCAAATGAATTAGTGGAACGATTAAAATTATTATATGCATCACGCGACGCAGGCAATACTGGCTTAGATAATGAGATTATATCCATCATTGAGGAATTATATGAAGCAGGTCTCATTAATAAAAAATATAAGTAAGATATATTACGGAAAAATCAGGCAGTTGGCTTTCTGTAAACAAACGAAGAACACTGCAATGAATATAGACAAATTTGGTCATCACGTTCATAAACGTTTACAATTGGAAGAATACATTGATACCTTAAACGATACTCTTGTTAAATCAGATACGGGTCA